GATCTGGTACTCAGGATCTCTTTTTATCGCTCTCTCATTCCCTCCTTCCCTTTCTGTAGCCAACACTCTTTGCTTTGATATATTTTGGTAGTGGGGATCGAACTTGGATCCTTGCACTTGCGAGGCAGGCGGCAGAACCACTGAGCTAAATCCTCGGCCCTTGGAAAATATTTGACAAGAGCAAGTAAGACTGCCCTCTGAGAAAGTAGGGGGTATGTCGTGGAAGATCTTCGAAAGTCAGGCTGAAGGGTGCTTATAATTTGGTGGGTGGTAGGATGTCATCAAGGGGTGGGAGGCTAGATGGGAAAAAGCCAGGGAAGGGTCTTGGTGGTAGGGTAGAGGGTGAGGAGGCCAAGCTTGGCCTGGCTTGCACTCACATCTTATATCCTAGCCTCTCTGCCACAGGAAAATTTGACCTGACTGGTTTACTGCTGACCTGCGCGGTCAGGCTGAGGATGAGGGCAAAGGGAACGGTCCATGTTGGCTTTCCACCTCTTTTCAGTGGCCAGCGCTCAGGGCCCAGCCGGGCCTGGCTAGACCTGACAGCCCCTCTGAGCTCCTGGGGCGTGGTCAGGATCTCTACCGGCCTACCCTCAAAGGAGCCACACAAAAGGATCGCAACCGGAGGCCCCGCCCTCAAGCTTCCCTCGGCTAATCAAGTGTCGGCGTTCCAGCGCAATCGACCAATCACAGTTGCCATTTGTGCTCACATCCTCCATTCTCCTTCCACTGCCCCAAGCCTCACGGTTGCCTGGGCAACGGCTCCAGGCTCCAGCTTTGAGCTCTTCTGATTTTCTTCTCCCGGGTGTAGTTACCAGAGGAACCAGAGGGCTGGGAACTGGATGACACGTGTCACCGCCAATCCTCAGACGCTCAAAGTCGGCCTCGCTCTGCTGTCGACTTCCCAGGCCAACCACTGAGAAGCCGAACTTCCTGGTGTCCTTGGGGGCTGGGTCACTTCCGGCTCCGTGCAGTCACATCCGTCCAGACCCGGGCTCTGCTGGTCTCCGGCGCCGCTGGAATCCTGAACCTCACCGGAGCTGTCGGAAGCTGGGCGTACCCAGCTAGAGGATAGGCAGGTGTGGGTGCGGCCCCAGCCGTCAGGGAGTGGGCCTTTGGCGGGAAGCTGGGGAAACTCCGGCGGGTCGTGTGAGGAGGGGCCTTGGCTTTGAGTGATGCATGAGGGGCAGAAGGCAGTGAAATGTTAACAGTAGGGGTTTTGCTGCCTTTGCCCGTTCATTTTTCTTTCCTTCTTCCATTGGTTGATTGATTGATTGACTGATACTGGACACTGAACCCAGGGAGGGCTCTACCACTGAGCAACGTCTTCAGGTCCCCTTAAATTGTAGCACAAGTCCTCGATGGCTAAACAACTGCCTAGGTAGGATTTGAACCTGTGATCCCGCTTCTGCTTCCCTCAGTGCTGGGATTACAAGCGTGCACTATCGCACCCGGGTTCATTTTTCAAATATAAAATGAAGGACTGCGTTTTAGGTCCTTTGCTAAATGTAGAGAAATATGCATTAAAAAAGCCAATCATGATCCTTTTCCTTGGTTCCAGTCCTAGAGGAGGGAACTGACAGATTAAAGATACATTAACTAAAAGTAGTAGCAGATACCAAAGGAACTAGGTGAAGCAGCAGAGTATGGTAGGGACTTCCATGTCAGGGAAGGGGACATTTAAGCTGAGACTTGAAGGATGAGAAGAAGCTATTTTGCAGGGTTTTGGAAGAAGAACCTTTTAAGCAAAGGGAACAGGAGGAATGAAGACCCTGACAAGAGGAGGAGATTGTTATTCAGGAGCTGAAATGACATCTCTTTCGGAGGGGGTAGAGTGGTGAGAAGATAGAGGCAAGAATAAGAAGGAGAGGGCCGGGGATTTAGCTCAGTGGTTTCACCGCCTGCTTCGAAAATGCAAGGACCAGAGTTTGATCCCTGGTACTGGAAAAAAAAAAAAAAAAAAAGAATAAGCAGGAGAGGGTGGGGCATGGTGGCACACACCTGTAATCCCAGCAATCACCTGTAATTCCAGCAATCCGGAGGCTGAGGCAGGAGGATTGCCAGGAGTTCGAGGGCAGCCTGAATTACAGAGTGAGACCCTGTCTCAAAACATTAAAAAACAAATATTGCAAGGAAAACAAACAGCTTTCCAAGGATTTTGGTAATGCTAGCACTAACGCCTTTCTCAAAGACTTAGTGAAGGCAGTGTCTTCTGGTAAAATGTAGTTGGAGTTGGGGTGAGTATGTAAATCACATGGGCAAACTCACTCAACATTTCTGTCCCTAAGCCTTTGGATTCTCTTTCCCATCATGCCACTGCAGCTCTGGCATCTCTCTCTATTTTTTTTTTTTTGGCACCAGGGATTGAACTCATGACTTTGTGCTTGCAAGGCAGGTGCTGTGCCACTGAGCTAAATCACTAGCTCTGGCATCTCAACCTCATTAACTGAAGGCCTCCTTTGAGTCCAAATTTCAGCCAGCCAAAAGGAGAAGTTGTTAAAGCACCTACAACTACACAAGTTAACACATTAAATTTGAAATCTCTAATAAGTGATTTTTCAACGATATCATTACATGGCTACAAGAAATAATTTCTGGGCTGTCATGGAAGTTCTCTGGTTCTCAGATAGTGACTTGAACTGAGTGAAAGGATCTGAGC